TGTAGCACTTTCCTGACTTCATCCTTATTTTCTTCCACCACTTTTCGGAGTATTTGAATTTGTTTGCTTATCATTCTTCTGAATTCCTTCTCAGGCAGATCCAGAGCCTGCTCTTCTACTGGAAAGTCTGTGTCTGCTTGCAGCTCATTTGTCTCAGTTACTTTTTTCTGCTTGTGGACATGTGTTGAAATCTTTATTTGTGTTTTCTTGGACATTTTCAGCAGTTATGTGGGTTTTTAATGCTTAAATGGTGTATGTTGCTTTGTTGTTAAGCTTACTGAGCGTCTACTGGTGGATATGACCTGGAGATAGGATTTCCTTTTCACGTGTAATGCCTACCAGCTGCTTTTGGCTCTTGTGCAGATGGTGAGGTATTACAGGGTATGCTTGTAGCTTGACTATATGAGCACAATTTCTGTCTCTTCTTGGGTAAGGTAGGAGGAGAAAGTTCTAAACCCTGGGAAAAGAATGAGGCCAAAGGACCAAAGTCAGAATCAATATAAAAGCAGAGACACAAACCACCAATCAAAAACAAAAATAAAATTGTGATTGACTGTCAACTGGCCTTTGCTGTGCAGGCAGGGATAAAGGAGCCCCACCCATGTCAAATTTGGGGCTGGGTCCCAGAATCAGACATCATAAGAAGCAGCCTGTTGGTTTCGTCTCTGTGCTGTTGGAAAACTGTGGGTGCAATACTGGGCCCTTTTGTGGGTGTGCTCCCACCTGTCTGAAGGCATCTGGGCTGGGCAGTGAGGGTGTGATTGGCGTGAAGAAGAAAGATACATGAAAAATGAAAAGTGAAAGATGAAAAATCGACAACACCTCTCCCTCCAGATGCGCAGCTCCACAACTTCTAGTGCTAAGTCACTGCCTCTGCTTGGCTGTGGCCCTGCCTTCTGACCTCAGGACCTCTGGCTGCAGGGATAATTCAGCTGGGATCTATTCAGAAATCACCATATTTTGTTTCCACAGGCAGAATTTTCCACATGGTGCCCAGACCATTAAACAAGATCCAAAACTCCACAGCTGTTCTGTGGACCGCTCTTTGTCTGCTTTTTTTGGGCTTTAGCAGAGGAGTTTTGGCTATATGTCTCTGCTTACCCGCCTCCAAACTGGAAGTCTTACTCTCTTTTTAAGTTCTCATTTCTTTCCATACATTCTTAATTTTGTAATGAAACCAAACATCCCCTTGTCCAATTAAGTGTAACCACATAATTTAATCCAGTAATTTTAAATACAAATGTATTGTCAATTTTTGACTAGCAATTATATTACTCACAGAAGATTTGTTATTAAATAGTACCCATTCATTTATAGAAATGAAGCCCAATAAATTTAATTAACACAGTAAAAAATAAGTATAAAAGTATTGCTACTAGGTTTCCAGTACATACATGCACAGGCTTCTTTAAAACAAAACATGTTTAAACGTATCTTTGCAATCATTGTTGAATGGCTCCAAACTAGTTCTCTCAGTAGCACAATTATCTTAGTCTAATTAAAGTGTCTTCAAGAAGAAGGATACTTTTATGACATGGGGGGAAAAGGATATTGAGATCAGGGTTAATTTCAATTTTTTCACAAGATTCAAGTAGATATCTTCCCAAATCACTGAAGCTTTGTAGTAAGTCTATGGGTATGCTGCCACACCTAAAACAACAGTTTTTAGCTGAAGCAAGCATTTTAAGATAGGTCAGGAAGACCTGAAAAATGAATCAAGATTGGGAAGACTTTAAACCTCAGTGAATGAAGAATCTGTGGCTGAGGTCAGAAACTGGTGGAAGAAGACTGTACAATGATTATTGATGTGTTAGCTACTGGTGTCAGGATTTCATATGGTTTGGTATTTTCATTTTTAAGTGAGTAGAAAAAGAGGTAGATCGCCATTGAGAAGGATTGGCCAAGTGACAACATCAATGGACTCAAGCATGGCAACAGTAGTGAGGTTGGCCCAGGATCAGGCAGTGTTTCGTTCTGCTGTGCATAAGGTCGCTATGAGTTGACACCGACTTGATGGCACCTAACAACAACAACAATCTTGGTCACAGTAAGCTTTGGCCAAATGGATGCCAAAAACATTGTGCAAATCAAAGCTAGATCATAGTGACTAATCTTTCCATCAGTCTTTTAAGCAAGATCAAAGCTAATGAAGACTATTTTGTGGAATGAATGACTCTTGGGTTTACCAATACCATCTAGAGAACAAGTTCCAATCATAACAGGGGCTTCCCAGGGGATCTGCTGAGCCAGTTAAATTCAAGACAGAGAGATCAACTTAGAAGGTTATGGTGACTGTTTTTTTTTAGATTCAAAAGGGATAATCTTGATATGTTTAAAATATATATATATCTTTTTCATTGAGTATAAAACATGCACCTGAAAAAACTTTTAAGTGCATTATTGAAATGCTACTCTAGATGAAGTTGCTTATTATTGTTGTCAAGGTTTAATTCCATGCAATTTATACAAGGATATAGAAAAGAAAAACTCCTCAAGAACCATGGCACATATCTAGTCACAGTATAAATCACAAGCTTTAAGAAATGTTGAAATTATATGGGAATATGGAATTATTCTAAGGAGCTCTGGTAGTGTAGTGGTTACAAATCAGGCTGTGAACCACATGGTCATCAGTTCGAAACTACCAGCTGCTCCTCAGGAGAAAGATGAGGCTTTCTGCTCCCGTAAAGATTTACAGCATCGAAAACCCTGTACAGGGTTGCTATGAGTTAGAACCGACTCCATGGCACATAATCAATCAATCAACGGAGTTATTCTAACTATTCTTATTTGCTGTATTTGGTCTTATACAACAACTGTAACTAAAATTATCAAGTGACACTTTTTTAATTCAAAGAAAGCTAAAGCACGTTCTTTAAAATTCGTTTTTATTATGAACATTATAAACAGAGTTTTACATTAATATTTGTTTATACAATAACTCTTGCTTATCACCATTGAGTATGAATTTTCTTAAAATAACCTGGGAGCTTTATTTGAAATGAAGATAAGAAAAGCTTTGCTCCTTTCCTGTCCACCTTTCCACAAAGTAAAAAGACAGATTCTTTTGGTCTTGGGATGTTCTATAAAACAATAATATGAAATACAGGTTTGAGGGAGACAACTAGGCTTTGGTGGTTTTCTTATGTCCCTAGTTTCTTGTGTTAAAAGTCTACATTAAGTTGATTGTCACTTTTTAAATTCTGTAAAATGTATAGTGTGACTACATATAATGAAGGCATCAAAGAGTAAGACCATCTTTTAATATATTATGAATTGTCATTTATATTGCTTTTGTTTTAGAAGCATTTTGTATGCAATCTGTTGGAGAGTAGAGATAGCTTTTGAGGCATTGTATTTTTGGCTGTTAAAATATGGCTGACATATATTCAGATAAGTTTTAAAAGATACATTTTCATTTCTTCCAAGTAATCTAACAATGATTTCCAAAGTAGAATGCTATCTTATTTACAAATAAAATAATCAAAATGAAAGAATCTTAACATTTTTGTTATTTGAACACTCTTAAAATCTATCTCTGATTTTTATAAATGTATTAGAAAACAGTATTTGATTTTGTTGTTTAAACAGCCTTGAAAATTTATTATAAGATAACACAGTCAAAACTGAGATGCTGCTTTAATTTTTATGTCCTTTTAAAATCAATCTGTATTAAATCATTACACGGAGTAACATGAAAATCAAAGAAAATACATTGAGAAGTTAAAAGTTCAAATCAATAATCAATTATTTCCAATTATTTGTGACCACTAAAGAGTTGCTGTGTTGGAAAATAGCAAAGATTGATTTTATTCAAACTCCATATTTCTTTCCTTTTAAAAAATATGCATTCTAATATTTTTGTGTTTGTGCAAATTTTTAACTCTCTAACTCTGTATATATTAAGAAGCATTAGTACCTTAAATAGGAATATATTTAAAAGGTAATTAATTTTATTTTTAAGCAGTGAGTATGACTTCTTTATACTGTGATGAATCATACTTTTTGTCTTTTATTTGCATAAGGAAAATCTCCATTTTTGCATCATCATGTATCCTTTATGCATATAATTAACATTAAATTCTTTATCTATGCAGAGCTGGTTATTTGCCTCAGAATATTCCCCTGGAGATTATCAGATACCTATCTGAGGAAAAGGATTTTCTTCCTTGGCATGCTGCTAGCCGGGCTCTTTATCCTTTGGATAAATTACTGGACCGCATGGAGAACTACAATGTCTTCAATGTAATCATATGTATTCTCTTCTTTCTTACTTTCATAACTACATTTTATTATTTACTATAAGAAACTGATCCTAAATTATTTTGTTGTTGTTGTTGTGTTAAGTGTCATTGAGTTGGCTCAGACTCATAGCAACCCTGTATAAGGTTTCCAAGGAGCAGCTGGTGAACTTGAACTAATGACCTTGTGGTTCAAACCAACCTTGCAGTCCAACACATTAACCCGCAGGTGCCACACCTGGGCTCCTTCTTATTTGTGTGATCACTTTTGTTCTTTTTTTTTTTTTTTTTTCTGTTCCTCACTAATGAAAATTATTTGATAAAAAAATTTAATACAAGCTACCTTTTATTCTTGCCTCAGAGTGTCAATTAAGCTTACATGTTTCAGAATTTAAGAACAAATATATATGGCAAATCCTTAAAGGTCAAACTTACTTCCCAATGCTTAAAGGACTCTGTTTTCACAAAAGACTTAACCTGGGTAGAGGGATCTTAGAGATCTTAAAAGAATATAGACATTTGAGTAAAGATTCTTAATCATTATTTTTATCCAAAAGGCCATAGTGAATTCAGTTCACTTCCTTAATTAACAAGGATAAGATCAACATTGAAACAAAAGTCCATTCATAATTGGGTCCAAGGGGATACAGGAGAGCAAACAGCAGATAATCCAAATAGACATGAAGACATGACAAACATTCCAACATGTTACCTGACCAGATTTCCTAAACCTGAAGCCTGGTAAACCAAAAGCACTTCCACCACTAACTAATCTACTTTAATGATCATTTGGAATAATATTAGGATTGTTGTTCCTGTTAAGTGCTGTCTGTTGAGTTAGTTCTCACTCATAGAGACCCTGTATAGGGTTTTCAAGGAGCAGAGGGTGAATTTGAATAGTCAACCCTGTGGTTCAAACTGACCTTGAAGTCCAGTGCATTATTCCACAGTGCCACACCAAGTATTGTTAATGAACTTTTGACTTTCTAAATTAATAAATTCTTATTAATAGCAAGACTTTGCATATAAGAACATGTTTCTCTGCTTTCTGCTATTTTGCTCACCATTTTCTGTCCCTCAGTTATTTTGAATCTGTCCTATATCTTATAAAATTATTCTATTTCTTAAGACTTATTGATTGTATTTATCTATACATTCATAAACTAGATAGCCAGAGCATAGAATCTGGTGATTAATGCCATCAAAATATCTGACAACCATTAAGATTTCTTATTTCTTTCTTGTCCTAATCTAAGATGAAAACACCTATTGTAAAGATTTTTAAAATAAAAGTCAAAAGAACTACTACTAGCGTTTCAGTTCATACGTGCTTTGCTTTATTCCAAACAAAACATGTTTAAACGTGTCTCTGAAGTCAGTGGATGGCTGCACAAAAGTTCTTTTGGTAATGCATTTGTCTTAGTCACATGTGGGTGCCTTAAAACATCAAGTGACTATTCATTATTAGTTTTGTCTAAGCTTTTATAACAGACACACAAATGAATGTATCATTTCAGTTATAGTATAGATTTTGTTCATTACAGCAAAACTTACTATACTTTATTTACTTCTTAACACAAACACAGTTTAATATTAAAGATTTTTAAAGTAAAACACATTTTTGTGTATTTTTACTTTACAATCATATCAGATACCTCCTTTTTGGTAAAAGTTAAGAATGTTTTTCATTGTAATTTCAGTGCTTTCATTGCTTTGATAAAATTCAGGGACCACATTAAATGAGGCGAGTATATTATTTATTGCTGCTGATATTTAAATATTATCAGTGGAGGTATGTAAATGTATACTGGAGAATCCCGTGTACATCAATTCAGCAATCCTAGGTTACGCCTGCATGATAGTTTTAGTTTAAATACGTTCTGTTGACATAAATTATATAAGTGCTATATGCTTACTTTTATAAACTGTATCTGACATTCTTTGTTGTTATGTGCCTTCGAGTCAGTTCTGATCTTGTATAGGGTTTCCAAGAAGCCACTTGTGAGTTTGAACTGCCAATCGTGTAGTTCACAGCCCAGTGCTGATCCTACAGCTCCATACCTGTAGGATCTGACATTACTTTATACATATGAATTGATGGATATTATTATCAATATGCTTCAGTTTTCTTGTTTTGTTCTAAACATTATCATCGAAAATATTTGATATCATAAATTGCTTAGCTGTTTAATAGGAAGAGTAGACATCTATCATTTCAGTAGTATTATATCTGTATTTTCTATATTTGAAGTACTAGGTTAAATAAAACCATATTAGCAATTTACTGTGCTTATAATTTTACTGATATTTGAAAGGAGCTACGTTAAAAAGCAATTTCAATTTTATTATGCAATTTTAATTCTCAGCATGGAGAGGTTTAAAATTGACTTTATCTTTCTGTCCCCCTGCCCCCATTTAGGAATATATTTTAAAGCAAGTTGCAACAACATACATCAAGCTTGGATGGCCGAAAAATAATTTTAATGGATCCCTTGCTCAAGCATCCTACCAACATGAGTACTGTATTATTTTCTTGTTCTTTTCTCTTCCCCCAGGGCTATGCAATAGAATATGATTAATACAATTCTGACTTTAGAAGCACGAGACCATCTTTCTTTCATTCTTTATCTTTCATTCCTCTTTTCTGGGAAGGCTATTGCTGTGTAGCACTACCTGACACCAAAAACAAAGGCATTCTTGCCATGCTTAATATATGATCTGCCTTAAATGGGGATGTTGAGATCTGAACCCATGGCCCTTACTATAGCATTGAATCCAGAGCAGGTTTAGTATTTGTAGCTTTCTCTCAGCCTAATTGTCTCTTAATCAGCAGTATAATAGTTCAGTATCTAAAGAATATTTTCATATTAATTATTTACTAACCACCTATTTATTTAATATGTATCCTGACTTTTTCAGAATATTAAAGCTGCTTTTTCATTTTCTTTTCCTCCCTTTTAATGATATCTAGAGAGCTACGTAGAGAAGTTATAATGCTGGCATGTAGTTTTGGTAATAAGCACTGTCACCAACAGGCATCAACACTTATATCCGATTGGATCTCCAGCAACAGGAACAGGTAAGTTGATACAAGTTCTGTGTTTCTCATATACTTTAAAACTGCATTGAGATTTTCAGTAGTTGCATTCCACTTATTAATTGTTGAAGTATTTTGTTGTTGTTGAGACATGCCATCAAGATGGTTCTGACTCATAGAGACCCTGTATAGGGTTTCCAAGAAGTGACTGGTAGATTTGAACCACCGATCTTATTGCTGAAATTGACCTTGCAGTCTAGCACATTATCCTGCAGTGCCACACCTGTCGAAGTAGAGGGGGGAAAGAAACCACTATGAAACATTATTTCAGGTTCACAGCTTAAGAGACCACAGCATGAGAGCAACAATATATTTATCTTTGGAATAGTTCATCAAGTATTAGGCTAACTTTCTTAACTTACACCCTTTATCTTCATATATGAGGGTTAATCAAAAGTATTACTACTAGAATTCCAGTTCAAACATGCACAGATTTATTCCAAACAAAACATGTTTAAACATGACTGTGGAATCAGTGGATAGCTGCGCACAAGCTCTTTCAATCATACACTTGTCTTAGTCTCATTTGGGTGCCTTAAAAAAATCCAGTCAAAACTAACTTTCAAGAGGATCTTCTGGGCCAGTTAAATTCAAAGCATAGAGTTTAACTCAGAAGGTTATGGCAATTGTTTCTTGAGATCCTAAGGTGTAATCTTGATAGTTTTTCTCAAAGAACACAGGATGATCAAAGGGGCTTATTATCAAGCTGTTTGAAGAAATTGAAAACTGCATTGGTGAAAAAACACCAGGAACATTTTACTGAGGAATTTTTTTCACCATCATATCAGTTCACCTAATCATTGTGTGTGACACTGTGGGCTAATGTATTAGACTGCAAAGTTGTCTGTGGTTCAAGCTCACCAGCTGCTCCTTGGAAACCCTATACAGGGTCGCTATGGGTCGGAATCAACTCGAGGCCACTTAACAATAACAATCACTCTTCAAGAGGTTAGCGAGGACTGTTCTGTGAGAAGTTTGTTAGGAAAACTTACCCCTCCACTCTACAGTGCTGATTCTTCCCCCTTCAGTTTTTGTCGCTGTTATTCCCCAGTCTCAAAGAACATTGAAAAGGATAATGGTTCCATTTCCTTGAGGATATAGAAACTGTTGTTTTGAAAAGGGATTAATTGAAGAGCACAAAATTCTTTGGAGAATGGTTGTGGCTGTTGTGTTTTTAAGTGCCTTGGAGTAGATTCCAACTCATAGCCACTCTGTATAGGGTTCCTGAGGAGCAGTTGGTAAGTTTGAACCTCCAGCCTTGCAGTTCAAATGGCTTTGCAGTCTGGTGCATTAACCCACAGTGCCACACTATATTAACCAGGAGTCCTGGTGTGGCACTGTGGGCTAATGCGTCAGACTGCAAACTTGTTTGAACTGCAAGGTAGGGGTCAAGCTCACCAGCTGCTCCTTGAAAACTCTATAGAGGGTCGCTATGGGTCGGAATCGACTCGACGGCACTTAACAACAACAAAGTCTATCAACCTAGATAAAGGGTGTATCAAGAAACAATAGCTTCACAGTTTGACATTTTTGTTTGATTGCAGTTTCTATTACTTTGTAGCAATACTTTTTGAAATACAGTCATGTAAGGTGCCAGCTTGTTTCAAGTTTTAGTAATTCTGCCGTTAGCCCCTGAGAACAAAATATTTAAATTTAGGTCAAACCATTAAGGGCTTTTTGTAAAAGTTGTACTGTTTAAAAACAAAAACAAAACTATTTTGTTTATATTATAAACAAAATAGTATAAAAAATGTTAATGTTTTCAAAGGTAAAATTTAAAAGGTTGTAAAAGGAAATCTTTACTCTCTCAGTGACCCTTGGCAGTGACCTTGAACTTGTATCTTATCTAGAAATTTCACAATACCCTAGTATAATAATATGTATTTTGAGGTTAAAATTATTTAATATAATTACTGTTAATAAATGCTAAATGTCGACTGTTAATATTAATGAAAGGAATACCAGACACACAAAAAGACTAAAATCATTTATCTTCTGACTATAGTTTTTCAAACTTTCATAAGGAGATATTATATTTGCAAGAACGTCCATGGGACATTTCTTTTTAAACATTGGACAATAAATACACATAGTTCCCTCCAGTACTTTCCCCCTGTGCATAACAAATTTCAGGTGGGAAGGAAGATGAGGTCAGGAGAAATTTGTAGAGTTGAGGCATTTTAATCATCCCAATGGGTGTGCAACCTACTATGGAACAAATTGGTATTGGTTTGATCAAGAGTTACTTGTATTCAAAAGTAGTATCTAAGTGGCTGTAGATCAAAGGGTAGCTATTCTGTTTAAAAGCTCACTGAGGGAAATCTTTCATTGAAACATATAGCAATTTGTCAAAATATTTCACTTCCTATAGTCTTTTTCTGTTTGCCTTTTAAGTTAATTGTTTTTAGTGTTTTACTATGCGAAGAATGGGAAAAAAATCATTGTTTTTTCTCAGTTGATCTATCATATACTTGGTAACAGTGAATAAATCTTTGTGTGGCACCATAGGATCTGTGCTGGACTGTGAACCACAAGGTCAGCAGCTCAAACAACTCTGCTACCCTTTGGGAAACCTATACAAGGTGGCTATGAGTCGGAATTGACTCGACAGCACTTAACAACAACAACATTCTTGTCTAGCACTAACAGATACCCTGATTTTTTTTTTTTTTTAATTCTCCTATTGATTATCCTTTTGGTTAAGTATCTGAAAACTGTTATATTTGACCTTAAAATGTTAAATGAAGTTTTTGTTCTTATTTTTTACTGTCCTTTGATTCAAACCCCATATTATTAAGTTATGAAAGCTTATCTAGAAAACCATATATGAAGAAAGCAAATTTTCATTTAAAAGACAGGATAGAAATAAAAGATCAAACGATATGCCCAAGGAGATGTAGCAACTTGCCTCTTGAATAGAGAGAAGTTAAAGCAACTGGAAGTAAGCAGGAAATAAAAAAGCTAGAAACAAAATTTCAAAAATCATCTTGAGATGATAAAATAAAGTATAATAATGAGACGTAAAAATACTTGGAGTTAGAAAACCCAAAGGATAGAACATGCTCAGCATTTTTCAAGCTGAAAGAGCTGAAGAAAAAAAAAAATCAAGTCTCAGGTTGTAATGTTCAAGGATTCAAAATATTGAATGATGCAGTAAGCATAAAAGGAATAAAGAAGGAATACACAGACTCATTGTACCAAAAAAAAAAAAAAAAAACTGGTCAATGTTCAATCATTTCAAGAGGTAACAGGTGCTCAAGCGCTGATGGTATTGAAGGAAGAAATCCAAGCTGCACTGGAGGCACTAACAAAAAACACAGCTCCAGGAATTACTGAAACACAAGTTGAAATGTTTGAATTAACTGATGCAGCACTGAAGGTGCTCATTCACCTATGCCAAGATATTTGGAGGGCAGCTTCCTAGCCAAATAATTGGAAGAAATCCATATTTTAACCCATTCTAAAGAAAGATGAGCCAACGGAATGCAGAAATTAATGAAATTAATGTTACATGCCAGTAAAATTTTGCTGAAAATAATTCAAAACAGTTGCAGCAGTACATCAACAAAGGCCTGCCTGAAATTCAAGTCAGAATCAAAGGAGAACATGGAATGAATGATGCCATCATTGCTGATGTTAGGTGAATTTTACTGAAAAGAGAGAATAGAAGAAGGATGTTTATTTGTCCTCTATTGTTTATGCAAAGGTGTTTGACTGCCTAGATCATAATAAACTATGGATAAGAATGCAAAGAATGGGTATTCCAGAACACTTCTTTGTTCACATGAGGAACCTGCCCATAGACCAAGAGACAGTTTTCAAACAGAACAAGGAGATACTGAATGGTTTAATATCAGGAAAGTGTGTGCCAGGGTTGTACCCTTTCACTATACTTAATTCAACCTATGCTGACCAAATAATTTGAAAAGCTGTTTTATATGATGAAGAATGTGCCATCAAGATTGGAAGAAGAGTCATTAATAACCTGAATTATGCAAGTGACATAACCTTGCTTGCTGCAAGCAAAGAGGACTTAAAATACTTACCTTTGAAGATCAAAGACTATATAATCTTCAATATGGATGGCAACTCAGTGTAATAAAATGAAAATCCTCATAACTGGATCAATAAATAACAGCATGATAATTGGAGAAGAGATTGAAGTTATCAATGACTTCATTTTGCTTGGATCCATAATCAACATTCATATGGAAGCAGCAGTCAAGAAATTAAAGAATGTATTGCATTAGGTAAATCGGCTGCAAAACATTTCTTTAAAGTTTTAAAGAGTGAAGATGTTAGGTTGAGGTCTAAAATGCACCTGACCCAACCCATGATATTTTCAATTGCCTCATATGTATGTGAAATGTGGACAAAGAAAAAGGAAGACCATAGAAGAATTGATGCATTTGAATTATGATGTTAACAAAGAATATTAAAAGTACTATGTTGTTGTTGTTGTTGTTGTTAAGTGCCGTCGAGTCGGTTCCGACCCATAGCGACCCTGTACAGGGTTTCCGAGGCTGTAAATCTTTACGGGAGCAGAATGCCTCATCTTTCTCCCACGGAGTGGCTGGTAGTTTCGAACTGCTGGCCTTAAGGTTCACAGCCATAATTAGGTTATATGCTGTGGAGTTGGTTTCCACTCATAGCAACCCTTTATAGAGTTTCTGAGGCTGTAAATCTTTATAGAAGCAGAAAGCCTCATCTTTCTCCCACAAAACAGCTGGTAGTTTCAAACTGGTGAGCTTGAGGTTAGCAGCTCAACTTGTAACCAATATACTTTCAGAGCTCCTTGGTTCCATGGTGGTGGTAGTGTGCTGTTGAGTCAGTTTAGACTCAGCAATCCTGCAAAGAATTTCGAAGACTGTAAATCTTTACTGAAGCAGAAAGCCTTATCTTTCTCCTGCAGAACAGCTGGTAGTTTCAAACTGCCAACTTTGAGGTTAGCAGCCCAACTTGTAACCACTATGCTACCAAAG